CTTGGGTGGCATCCTAAATCAATAAAAACACACCATTTTAGTTTTTTTTCTTGAGGAGTGCTAGGGGCACTCGCCTCTTGCACTCTCCGGCCAACACTTCCCCTTTCATTGGGCCACGTAGGCTTGTTTTAAGCTTTGAAGTGCAATCTCTTCTGAACTAGAATAACGTGGCCCAATAAAAGTGAAAGTGTTGTCCGGAGAGTGCAGAAGGCGAGTGCCCCTAGCACTCCTCTTTTTTCTTTAGGTGATGGTTAAATGTTAAATTTGGTCCCTCAACTTTAGCGATTTGCACATTTTTGGTCCCTTAACAATTTTTTGCACTTTTTTGATCCTTTAACTATACGAAATGCACTCCGTTAGTCCTTCTGTTAATTTGGACCGTTAACTCTGCTCATGTGGCATTTTTTATATTTTTTTTGATGACGTGGAGAGTAAAATTTAGAAAAGTGCTGATATGGACAAAATGTTTTTGCCATGTAATCTTCCCGCGAAGTCAAAGGCGCCAAACTCAAATGGGCCCCACATTGACCAATAAATTACTCCTGTGAACCCTAAATTGCTCTTTTATCTCCACTTCTTCGATCTTAACCCATTTCTTCTTCTTCTTCTTCTTTTTTCTCGGGGGAACTTGAGGAATTGCCCAAATGCAGGGAGTTCGGGATGAGAGTTGCTCGAGTTGGGTTGCCTCTACTACTAGTGGGGGTGAATCCTTACAATATATCTGTGATTGTGGTTTGAATGCTGTGGTGCGAACATCATTCACTTACCAGAACATGGGAAAAAGGTTTCGTGGGTGCCCTAAGTTGGTGGTATGTTCTATCCTAAAGCTTAATTTCATCTGCACTGAATTTTCTTTTTTGATTTAATGATTTAACCTTGTTAGAAACCTTGCAAATACTTCCATTTCCTTCCTGGTGAAGAGACAATCGAGGGCAGACCAAGGGAGTTGCTTTTAATATTAAAAGACAGGGAACAGAAGCTGAAGAGAGAGAATGAGAAATTGAGTAAGGAAAATACTGATTTGGTGCAAGAAA